AATAGAATAGGAATAAAATATATCAAAATTTAAACAAAGCAAGTTATTAAATAAAACAAGTATATTAAATGTGTTGATAGGATACTAAAATCTAACTTTAAAAATCGACAGATAAAATTATATGGGAAGCTCTCAACTTTTTATATGAATATAAAGCATAGAACAAGAGTAAAAAAATGAGCAGTGGAAATAAAAAGCATGGAAACTTGATGAATGTCAGAATATAAGAGAAAAGATGAAAAATAAGAAATACCAGGAGTCAAGACATTCGGGCTATAAATTCCTGGTTAGGAAAAAAATGTTTTGAAGTAAAGGAGATATGAAGTAATAGAAAAAATTTATTTGTAATTATCTCATGAAGCTGTACTTTGTACTTATTAAAATGCAGTACAGTAAATCAGGAACTTGCTCTAATTTCCATTATACTATATTCTAAGTTTCAAATTTGTTTAATTTTGAATTAAGCCTTTAGCTAACCTTTCTTGACGAGATATGCAACTTCAGAACAGATAGATTCGTATGCTCGGTGCATTCCACTCTCTAACCTGAAACCCTGGAGTGGCTGCAAAACTGCAACAAGAGGACCTCCTGGCATTGTCCAGACTGAGGTCATTTCCAATCCGCCACCGTGTCCTGTGGAAAGCAGCTACAACCCAAATACTCTGGCTTTGTCAGTGCTACTTAATGTAAGGAATTAATTTGGAAAACTGATCATGAAAAACAAAATGCATTCTAATTTTTTCTTTCTAAAAGTGGGTAGAATTGGGATCTCCCTCTCCCATAATAAGAACATGAATCTTACTTATCAGGTACCAGCAATATACTAGATTTTTATCGACTTCCACAGATGTATGTGTATGTACACATATATATCACAAATGTTTTTCTTTTTTGGAGGCAGGATCTCTCTGTGTTGCCTGGGATAGGGTGCAGTGGCATCTTCATAGGTCATTGCAACCTCAAACTCCTGGGCTCAAGTGATCCTCCTGCCTCAGCCTCCAGAGTACCTGGGACTACAGGCATACACTACTGTGCTCAGCTAGTTTTTCTGTTTTTTGTAGAGACAGGGTCTCTCTCTTGCTCAGGCTAGGTATCACAAAATATTTTAAACACAAATCCTAGTATTCCAATCAGAATATTTCCTCCCTCACCCTTGGCTAACTCTTATAAATTTCTAAAGGTCATTTGGTGGGGAGAATGTTCTGTTTATATGTATAATACCAATGCAAATTATTATCATTGAGCTATAATAAGAATATCACCTAACAATATTGTATATAACTTCATATGCAACAAAATTTTGTTCCGCCACCATTGTTTTCAGAATAAAATTCTGTAATTGGGCATGTTACCTTTCTTGTTAGTTTTACTTAAAATATGTTT